CCAGAGCAGTTTAATTTAGTGTGAAATGAAACATTATACTCTGTCTATGAAAGTTTCCTGTAGCAAATCCTATGAGCCTACTTCCTCCTCATCTGCCTTCAGTTATAATTTAAAAAAAAAAAATAATGAAAAGTGCTTAGAACTTGTCACTGTTGTAGATGATCATAAGTGGTAATTATGGTAGTATTATAGTTACTGTCATCAGTGCTATTATCACACAGTTATAGAAGTATATTAGAACTTCTTGTCAATATCTATCCCTTGAATACACTGTTCAGTCTCTGTTGATAGGGTTACCTATAAAATAGCATATCCCCTAAATTATTAATTTTCATTCTGCCTTAGCAAATTGAAATACTGGCTGTTTTCCAATTCTTAAAAATTGTTTGCAGTAATTTGTCCAGCCCAAATGTTTGGATTTTCTATTGAGCCTATAAAATTAATGACTTCCTTAATAACTTAATATAATAATCTTTATTTGACAGTAGAAATATTATGAAATTTGATCTAAAACCTCTCTTGATAAAATACAACTGTGCAAAGTTTGTATGTATAATATCTGTAACTTTTTGACTTTAACACTTTGAGTAAACTCCAATAAAGGCCTTTCAGGTATTACTGTAAGAGAGCAATTGTCCTATTAGCTTATCAATAGTGCCTATGTCTGTGTGTGTGTGTGTGTGTGTGTGTGTGTGTATCCATGTTTATTCAGTTCAGCTCTCTTTTCTTTACATAGTCTGTATTTAATTTTAAAATAATTAAAATGATTACCAAAATCAGTCATGTGTTCTACAGTGAATCCTATGGAATAAATTGCTGCTATTTATAAAATCACCAACATCTTTGTTTAAATTTAGAAAGTATTTTTATATGTCAAATTATAGAAATTTTTGAAACTTGTTGATCTTAAACTTTTTTAAGGAACTCATTAAATACTATCAACTGAACCCCTCCTTTTTACATGACTTTTGGTAATCAAGGAATTATATTATGTAAAATAAAAGGGAAATAAATGAAAGGAAAGGAAGTCTGTGAGATTAATTAGAAAGTCAGTGTTAGATCTGAAAGAAGTATGCAAAAAATAGAATGATGCATAATTCAAAACTCATTTGTTGTCACGGATTTTATGTTAATGCTTAACATTTAGTATGCATAGCTTATGGGACTAGCTGTTTATAACAGCATTACCTTGGATATTCGTTTCCCCCCCTGCTGTTACAAGAAATTGTTGAGCCCTCCCATCATTCCTAGTGATCAAAATACACCAGTAGGCATCTGCAGCATTACCACTGATGACTTATGTCAAATTATGCCTGTAAGTATAAAGTTACTAGCATCTTATTCCTTAATGCTAATATCTTCTACCTGTACAGTCTTTCTTCTCCTGATGCTAATATTTTAAAATATGGTTTCTCTCTACTTTTGTAACACATCTCCTTTTTTATCTAACTTTCTCCTTCTTTATATAGACATATCACCCACTCTGCAGCACTGCTCAGCTCTAATAACATAGTAGAACACGCTCTGAAGTCAGAAAAGCAGAGATTTTAATCTGGGCTCAGCCACTGATTAGCTCTGTAAACTTGAATAAGTTTAACCTTTCTGAGCTCCAGTTTCTTTATGTGATCAATAGGATAATAAAACATATTGGAGGGATTATATGGCATAAGAAAGCACTTAGTACGTGATTACTTCTATGGATCCTTATTAAGATGACACTGCAAAATCATTACCAATGTCTGTAACAGCTCCAAGATCAATACAACATGAATATCACAGGACTGTCTCTTAGGACATTCCTCAGTTCAAAAATTAGATTTCTGATCATCAAATTTAAGTCAAGGTTAAAACTTAGTAGATATATGGATAGTACATGCATCTTCCTGAAAATGTTATATTTCTCAGCTGAGTTTTGATAACTATTGGTCAGCAGAGAATTCCTGGTAATATTTTAGCAAATACCTAGATGTGGACATTTTCTGTTGCTCATTAAGTATCTAAATATCCCTGTTTTAATTGTCAGATGAGTTTGATGTACGGTTGGTGCCTTCCTATGAACGCTGAGAAACCTTTCCACTCTTCATATTCCCCACGGTGTTGACATCAGATACATTTTTGAAGTCTGTTTGGGTTCTTTCAGATTAAGAGCACAAATTTTATAAGACTCGATAGGAAAATAGTATGACAGTTTGCAAAAGTTAATAGAGCAGGCTCTGACTGAGAAACTGAAAGATAGGCCTTTTCTAGTTTCGTATCTGCAACATACTAGCTATGGTCCTGAATGATTCACTTAATTTTCTTACCTGTAAAATGAAGGGAGTAGACTCATCTCTGAGTTATCTTCTCGTGTTATATTTCTGTGATTTTTTTCGTTCCTCTTAGTTTTTGCCAAAATTTTTACCAATAAATTTCCTAATTTTATTATGTTTTTTGTCAATAAATTATTTATTTTTATGATTAAAGATATTTGAATTTGACTCATTTAAATGCAGCTTTTTCAAAGTTAATAATGGATATTTTATGAACGACTATGCCAATATGGTGTTTCATATTGTGGAGCTGAAGATTTCATTGAGCTGATTTCATATTATATTAACTCTTTAATAATGAATCCAGTTTGTACATATGAGATCAACTATTGAAAAAACTAAGTTTCTATGCATGCATCAATAAAGACTGAAAGGAAGCAGGAAAACTGCTGCTATGTTAGAATAGTAGAATGTGGGTAATTTTTGAAAAACACTTTGTAAATAGGTTATTAATTTATTAGTAGTATCAAAATTGGCACTAATTTCCATTTAGTATATGGTAAAAATATATCCTAAAAAAGTTTTTTAACTGCTTTTTAATTCAATTCTTTACTATTTGTATTTTTACACTATTTTCAAGGAGAGTAAACAGGAAAGCAAAGAGAAAGTAGATACATTTCTTAATTTAAAGACAGTATCTGTGAGTATAGGACAAAAAGTACAGAGAGTAAGCAAAATTTTCAACAATAGAGCATTCAATATGGTGTTAATAAATACAATAGTTTTCTGTAACCATGTTAATGAATACTCTATTGCTTCTCTGAGAGGTGATCCATAACAAAGCATCAGAATTGTCCAGCAACAATAAGAAGAAATTTTTCCAACAGTCATGAAAATTACACTTGAGGGTTTAGTTGAAAGTAGAGAGGCAAGTATAACCTTGAATCAGCAACTGGAATATCTCTTTTCCTTCTGTTTAAGTCACTCTCAAATATGCTTTATGAATAAGACCAGGGTTTCAAACTGTAAAAACACTACCCTGTTTCTTCACATACTCTTTAATTATAGGTTAACACAATCAAAAAAAAGTTTAACTATGGGTAATTAATATTTTAGAGATAGCATGTTACAGTTAAGAGTCTAAGATTGACAGTATGAAGATATTCTCAACAAAAATTGAAGTTTGAAATAGAAAAACTGGGAATAAAAGGCCTACAGTCCTGAATAAAGCAGATTGGAGTATATAACATTATGACCTATTTGCCTTGTATTTTGTCATTAAAAATTTAACCTTGGAAAGAAGATGGTAAATTCTTTCCTTTGGAGTCACCTAGTAGTCCCTTGAGTTCTTAATAAAAAATCACAAATCTTCCAATGATAATTTTCAGCATCCATAATTTTTATTAATTGAAACAAATGATAATAATCATCAAATCTGTGCCCATCTAGATTTGTATAAAAATTTCTGATTTTAATGGAATGGAAAATCTATTCTGTATGAAAGTATGTAAGATTAATTTAACCATACTATTTATCTTTTTAATAATTTAAAACTAATTTTTCATAAAAACTGAAAAGATTTTTAAGTATTTGGTTGTTTTCTATTTGTAAATCTTTGCTCATGGATAACATGAATTATAAACTAATATAGGAAAATGTTTTTTCCAGAGTTCTCAGCTTCTTAGGAGAGGAAAGCACTGTAACTGAAATATAAAGCCCACTTAACATGCATGAACTCTATGTTTTTATGTTTAAAAGATGTATCCTGAAATGGTAGATTTTTTTAAGAATATAAATTGAGAGTGAGAAATATTACAAATTTATAAATAGTAATGTTGCAGGTAGCAGTATATTATGATGGAAACTATGCTCTTAGCTTGTTGCACAAGAATAGACCCCAGAGTTATGCCTCTGGTTAGAACTGCATATTTTCCTCCTATATGACCTTTTCCAATGAAAGGGTAGATTGTAGAAATCATTAACAAACATTTCATGTCCTGGAAAATACATCTCAAATATTATCGTTATTTTACGATCTGAAAAAGTATCTGCTCTATCTCACAGGCAAGTGAGCTATAGTAGATCTGCTAAACTTTTAGGTAATACTGTTTGGTTTAAAAACACAGATAATAGATTTCTTTTTACAGGAGTTGGCCCATGGACTAAGTGAACTCCTGGCATATGAAGGCAATGTTGAAGAAGATTTCTATTCAACATTCCAGGTACTGTTAACACAAATAGCTTCCTGTTAACCACATATTTCATATATGAAAAATGCCATTTGTTATTAAACACCCATTATTAGAAAAGATGAACAGGATTAATCAACGCATACCATCTCCTATCTTAACTTGATAAAATAGAGTCAGTGAAGCAGACACATGTAAATGAGCAGTCACAAAAGTGCTTAAAGAAATTCATCAATGGTAAGAGTACTTCCTACTTTGCTAGGCAACCGGCATGTTCCCTTGACTATTACTTCCTCAGAGCTTTAAACTTCTAAAAATAAGCCTCTTCTGTAGCTTCAATATAAGAAGTTAGGGCCAGAAACTAATGTATCGAACCAAAATTCTCATTTCCACTCCCCTAACAATAATTGGGAGGTGACTATTATAGTAATCCACATAGCTCCAATAGGTCTGGGTATTACCTAAATGGCCACACAAGTTTCGTGAACATTGGTAAAGTATTGAACTGTATTCAAAACAGAAGATTAAGTTAAAGCCTTATTTACTTCATAATGCTTTCATGACACATTGTTATTAATATAAATATCACAAGAGCTTAGTCTTTCTGTAGTTCGTGTATTTAAAAGGGAGGAAAAAACATTCTTTTTAAATTTCACAAACCTCTTCATTGAAGCCTGTTATGATATCAGCCATATTAATTAATACCTTGTGTTGGAATCTTCCATCAGGTTTTTCAAGAAGAATTTGGAATAATTAAGTCCTATAATTTAAAGCCAGGTGGTGATAAAATTCCAGTTACCAATCAAAATAGGAAAGGTATGTTAGACACCATTTCTTAATTAAAATGCATTAGTGTTTACCATTTACTTTTACAATGTAACAGATGTAAAATTGTTTTTCAGAATATGTACAGCTTTATATTGACTTTCTTCTCAACAAATCCATCTATAAGCAGTTTGCTGCATTTTATTATGGATTTCATAGTGTGTGTGCTTCAAATGCCCTTATGGTGAGTTTAAAACTTTAAATTATGCTTTGAGTTAGGTTTTGTAATATGACAAATAATTCCTTCAATATTTTAGTAGATAGGCTTTTAAGATAGAAAATGTTTTCTATTTTTTAAAGGTAGAGTTAGAAATAAAAATAGTTCTCCTATTTCAGCCTTAACTCTCTAAAAGGAAAAAAGACTAGTCAACTCCATTTTTCTCCCCTTGTGCTGTGTCTTATACTATGTCTTTTAGGGCTTTAAAAAGTTTCCCCATGCAGAGCGGATGCAGAGATCCCATGAGTTCAAGGTCTTAATACTGAGAGACAAAGCACAGAAACAGAGTTAACACATAAGCTCCAGGGCAAAAGCCTCAACTTCCTATTGACTAAAGAACATACTCATAACTGCTTCAAGGATCCCTCAGCAACTCTGAGTTGCCTTTACCCACAGAAAGTAGTCTCTCTCCTGAGTCACGATGAACTCTGGTTCGATTTATCTTAGCCATGTGAATACGGGTCAACTACTTTTTAGATACCATGTTGGAAATACCATAAGATAAAAGCAGTTTTTTCAAGAACCTGTGTTCTTTGCCTCAGCTACCCAGGGCATGCTCTGTCACACCACGTATATTTCCACCTCAGTTTTATGAGGGTTTAGGGTAAGGTCTTTCATTTGAATTATTTTTCATAGGAGAGAGCTTGCTTTAGAGTAACCTTTGTCACATATTTGTTGTTGAAAGTACCTTGGAAAACGGAGCGCTTCATTGCGCTCTAATTGAGTTTTGTTTGTGACGCACTGGTAGTTGTGGAGATGGAGGGAGGAAAAATAAGAATTAAATGGCATAGCATGGTTTCTGTTTTTTCAGTTTTAATCTCTTTAGGTGGGAGACAATCTATGTAGGTGAATAAACCAGTAAACGGCCCAAGACAGACTAACCCAAACTCTACAGTGCACACATCCTGTGCGTTATTGGAACAGATACTGGAAGGAGGCAGGCAGATCAGCAGATGCTGGAGTAACCAAGAGTTTCGAGCTGAGTTTTGGGGAAGAGTTGTATTTTGGATTCATGCTTAGTCAATTGCTCGTTTTTCTGACAAACTGCTACTGTTTGCAAAAGGGGGAACCTGATAGTTCGACAAGAGTTATAAACTTTGGGGAGCGAAAATATCTTACCCCGGTATGAAAATATAAGTGGCGATTTTTCTTAAACAAAATGGTTTGATTTACTATGAGAAGTAATGGTTTTGGTAGTTCAAATCAGTGGAAATAGTTCCAGTTTCACTTTTTTTTTCAATCATCACTTTTTATCATTTTTGATAAATAATTACTGGCAGCTGCTTCGTCCAGAAGAGGTTGAAATTCTGGTCTGTGGAAGTCCTGAACTGGATATGCATGCACTGCAGAGAAGTACTCAGTATGATGGCTATGCAAAAACTGACTTGACTATAAGGTGAGCACTTTATACTTCTAGTAGTAAGGTTGGAGAATAGAGAATGAAAGAGAATGCAGTTCACTTATTTGCGTAACTTAACAATCTTTGAATCAAGTTAAGTCAGCTTAAATATTGTAGAGTTGCACACTGCCTTATTTTATTTCTAGAAAGTAACGTGAGAATATGAAATATGAAATCACTTAGCAACGGCCTTGGGAGTGATATAAATAAGTTTCTACAAAAGTAGAGATTTTACTTTTTTAAAAGACTTTGGTTCTTTTGGTTTAATAGCACTGTATTGAAAAACTAAGAAAAATTATATAGGATAAAAATGGTTTTTGTCTCATCCACTGTTAGGCTACTTTTAAAATTTTATAAAAATAGTTTTATAATAATGTTAGTCAAAAATCTAATTAATAAATAGAAACTTTTCTTCCTTAATTTCAAAGTAAGGGTATTATATATGTTTAGGGAAGATTTTTCCTTAGAGCTTACGTTATTACTTTATTTTGAGCTGCAGGATTTTTGTCAGGACATTTTATATAAATTTCCTTTGGTGTTCTCTAGATACTTTTGGGATGTTGTGCTTGGATTTCCTCTTGATCTTCAAAAGAAGTTGCTACATTTTACTACAGGAAGTGACAGAGTACCTGTAGGAGGAATGGCTGATTTGAACTTTAAAATCTCAAAGAATGAAACTTCTACTAATTGGTAAATTTCCAGATTGGGATTTTTTTTAATTTATAAGTTTGTTACTAATAATATGTTTAGAATTAGAGGCTTCTTTCGATCCTAAGTCATCTCCATAGAAAAATCTTGGAAGTAAATGTGGCCTTGAAATGAGAGAGACTATGGCTTAAGGTCCTCTATTAACTTTTATACCAGTACAAACTGACAATCCTTTCCATGAATTTTTGCTTTGCTAAGTCAACTGTTTTGTAGTCTCTTTTTAGAATCTGGCTTGTTTTTAGTAGTATATTGTCTTACCTGCATTTGTATTTAAAGGTGTTTTTTATTAAAAATGCTAAGGCAGGTTTTTTGGCTACTAGTACTAGAAGTCTTCCAGTACTAGAAAAGTAACTCTGGTACTAATCCTCTTTTTTTATCTAGTTCTGTTTGCATATAAAAATGATGATGATGATGGGTTTAAATTATTTTCTAATAATGTTGATGGATTAATGCTGATCTACTTCTTTTCCCAATCACCTTGTAATTTCTAAAGCTTATTTGAGTAGACACTACTTAATTATAATCATTTTTTCCCCTGCCCCATGTGTTCCAATACACCCCATATGCTTATGAAGTACACATACTTCATATACTTATGTATTTGTTCATTTTTGTACTGGAATTTATCCTTTCCTTTCCCACTGCTACCACTGACAGCTATTCTGATGGCGTGGGGTTCATAAAGACTGAGGAAAGGGTCTAAGAAATCTGTAGAAATCTTAATGATAACAGTGTCATCATGTAGAGGGTTGGGGGAGCTTATGGGATGACTGTTGCAAGTGTCTCAGAAATGTTCTCTTTATTATTTTTTGACAATCAAGACTGAAGTAATAATAACACTCCTATTATCTGCTATTCTGCTACGTGTTTTATGTAGATAGCTCTTTTTAATCTTTTCAACAACCCAGTTGGCTAGTTTACCCTTATCATGGTAATTTGGAAACAGATTTGGAGACATCAAGCAACTTGAACAAGGTCCCACAGCTCGTAAGTGAGGGAGACAACATTCAAATTCAGATTTGTCTGACTCCAAAAATAATGCCTCCATAATGAAAATTTCATGAGAGCAGAGACATTGGCTGTCTTGTCTGTAAACCCAGCCCCGTGTCTAGAAGGGTGCCTGACACATACATAGTAGATACTTCATAAGTATTTGTTCAAAGAATGAGGGGGTGACAGTAAACTAGATTTAATGTGTATGTCCTGATACTTTGAAAGTTGATTAGCAGACATTCTGTGTGTTTTAAGGCGTAGTATCTTAAAAAAGTGTTTCCCCTAGGTTGCCTGTGGCCCATACCTGCTTCAATCAACTTTGCCTTCCCCCCTACAAGAGCAAAAAGGACCTGAAACAGAAATTGATCATTGGAATTTCAAATTCAGAAGGTTTTGGACTTGAGTAACCTAGAAGACTTGAAATATATTTTATATGTAGCATTCACTTCCCTCTTATTGTGCCTTTAACCTTTTCATGTTTTCGTCTCAAAACATCTTGACAAAGCTCGCCAACTTTAAAATACTGATTTTTTAAAAATCAAATATGAAGTATGTTTAGTGGAGCCATACGATTTTCTAAAAACACAGACATAGCTTGAGTGGGGAAAAGACCAGATGGCAGAGACAGGTGTGGGTTCAGTCCCTCTTTTTAATAGCACTTTATCATTCTCCATAAGTAGTTTCTCACAGGTATTCCACTGGGAAAGCAATGTGTAGTAAAGAATGCAGTGATGACATAGTAGAACCCAGTGACAGATTGTGTGCTGCTAGCACAGGGTAGCAACACAGATAGCTACATTATCATTAATGTAAGGCATGTAGCCATATTTTCATATAAAGGTAAACAGCAATTGCAAATGCAGTTTACAGGTTGGTTTTTTGTGTTTTGTTTTTTGTTTTTTTGTTATACTGGCTTTGGTCCTATAAGATTTTCAACTGTTGCTGAAAAGCATGTAAATATCTACATAATAGCTTGAGAATAATGGGATTTTGATAGTGCCATTTATTGCTAAAGATTTATTTTTACAAAGTAAATTCAGGGTTTTAGATGTGTATACAGTTTTACAAATCAATAAAGATGATTGTACAAGAGTGTAACTATTTTCAGACTAATTGGATTCAAGGTTCTATTCTTTTAAGTATTGTTAGTCTGCATGCACATTGGCAGTAAACTAGTTATTTTGAGTACTCTAATATTTGTAAAATGATCATTTCTTCTTAAGGGTCGAGATATTAGAAAGGAAATCAGATAACTAATCATTGATAAACTAAGTCAATTACAAGCACAAAAGAACTGTTTTTATATATACTTTGATTGATGTACAAGGCTTATTTCTAATATTTTTTGATCACCAGTTGTACTGAAACACTAATTTTTAGAAAAGGTTAGGATAAGATATTTGACAAAAGTGAATACAATAACTTTTGTGTCAAAATGACATAGCTTGGTATAAAAATCAAGTTCAACATTTTGATCAAAATGTTTGCTTTTCACTGGATTCTGAATATAGTAAATTCAAAAGTACTCTTTTTGGAGTTTCTAATAAAGTAGCATGTAAAAAGAAACTGCATTTTAAGTCAGACAGTAAATGGTTTTCTGTTTAATTTACAGCAAATGAAGCAGTTTTATTAGCATGTTAGAAATATTTCCAGATCAAGACTTCTCTATTATACTTGGATAGTTTTCCTTCAGAAAACTCTGAAGATATATTTGCAATAATAATGAAGCCAGCATTTAGTACCAGCATATGGTTCACATGCAAATAATACTTTCCCGCAATTTTTTCTGAGCTACACTATTTTCTCATTGCTATATGCTTCCTGCACCCAACCAGCAGAATTCTTTTGGGGTGAAGGAACTAATCAGCTTGTTTTCCTGCAGTTCTGAAGCCAGCCTGTGAATCTTTAAGGAAAAAGAATTCCTACTTGATTTACTATCTTCTTTGAGACAGAAGTGACTCTGCTTTTCTATTTGGATATACTATTTAAAGGATTTTCTTCTTAAAAATCTTGGAACGCCTAAGAGAGTTAAAGTCATGTTGGTTTCATTTTGTTTGCTCTGTTTTTAATCCGTATGCAAATAAAACTGCTTCTCTCTTACACTGCTTGAACTAGAAAGTAAGATGTTTAATGTAGGTTACTACTAACTAATAAGCACAAAAGAATCATGTATAAGAAACCAGATTTAAGTGTTTTAAATAAAATGTAAAGTTTTTATTTGGTAGAGATGGAAAAAATTGTATTGGCTTGGTCTGCATGTTTAATGATGTGCTTGTATATCGATAGTTATGTCGCTTTTAAAAGTACCAAGCAAGCCAGATTTCTAAATGACAAAGTCCATAAATAACTGGAAAATTTTTGTTGTCTGTTATTAAGTTGAAATTTATAATCATCTATCACTTAAGCACATTGCCTTTATTTATTTATGCTCTGTTTTTGGTTTACAGTGTAATAATACCTCATTTTTTAAAAAATAAAAACTACTGTTATATTTCATTGATTTAAACAGCTAGAAAATTCATGTAGTTGCTTTTTTAATATAACCTGTTAATGAATTCTTGATTTTTGTATCACCACAGTAAATTAAAGCATTACACAGTATTTATCAGTATTTACAAAATGTCCTGTCCTTTTTTAATCTTTGCTTAATCATATTTTTGTCTGTATGATCAGGAGTTTTTAACAGTCCCTGTTTTTTGTACAAATCTGTATTGTATTAAATTGTTAATTTCTGGATAAAATTTTTCAAATATTAAAGTTATACAATCAGTCGGGTTTCAGTTTATTTTCTGAACATAAAGCAGTTAATTAAAACCATAAATTTAAAATACCTTAAATATGCAAGCTGTTCTCTTCATTACACTCTCTTAAACTAGTGCTTAGGAAAATTGCTAATACTTATAGCTCCAAAAGATGTGTGTTGTTATTGACACCAAATATAACCAACCTCTTCAGCATTATTTTCAATATGAAACATGTATATCCAATGTCTGGAGACCATCCAGAAATGAACTAAGTATATTGCATTGGCCACAGATAGACAACTTCAGATCTTAATTAAGTATTTCTCCCTAAAACTATCAGTTTGACCTTTTTTCTTTGCCCACATTTCTTGTGCTTAACAAAGATTATAAGAATGTAATGGGCGATAGGACTAATGGAAGAAGATAAGTAGCTGGATGGAAGAAAGTCTAGGTGGGTATTCACAGGGCAGCACACAAGATCCATTCACCCAGATGGCCACACAGCCTTTAGTCCAGTGTGGTGGTCACGAATGGGGCTTTGAAGCCAGACTGCCTGGGTTTGGGTTTATTATTCACTAGCTTTGTTTCCTTGGGCAAGTTACTTAATCTCCCTGTGCCTCAATTATCAAGTGAAAATAATGTGTAAAGTGGAAATAATCTACCTCTCTCATGTAGAGGAGTTATAAGGAGCATGAAATGAGTATGTGTAAACCACTTACACAGTTTCTGGTGTAGAGTAAGCAATATGGGATGCAAGAGGAATCGTGGTGCTAATGTGACACCATCTTACAACCACTGTTTCTGAAGCCTTCTGGAGGTTATTGACTATCAAACATTGGGTGCAACCACATATTGAAGAACACAAAGTACTTCTGAGGCATTAAAATTGTGTTAGAATATTTCTTGTTCTAGAACATGCTTTAGAATTTATCCTTATAGATGTCTCATTAGGCAAGAGTTTTTAATACTATATTACAGATGTGTAACAAGAGGCAAATTTAAAATTCAAAAATAAAATTTATTTTTAATGAAATATTTCAAATCTAGGGGAATTTTTCAGAGATTAACAATAAAACCACGTTCCCACTCTCAGATACAACAAATATTAACATTCTGCCACATTTTCTTTTTGAACAAAAAATTACAGATGGAGTTGAAGCCCCTTTTTGTGCACTTCTCCAATCCCAATATACTTTCTCTTTTCCCTCATTAAACTGCAGTTGGTTTGTCTCTCTGTAAACACTATACATAGTATTGTTATAACTGTATACCTAATATCATCCTCTACCTATCTTTACACAACATTTCACACTCAATAGTCTTTTCAAGATTTATCCTTGATTACACATTTAGATATAATTCACTCATTTTAATGGCAGAATAGAATTCTATTAAATAAATATACCACATTTGTTGATCCATCCTCCCAGACTAACGTTTAGTGTGAACCAGGCTACGATGAGCCCCCTTGCCCGTGCTGAACGTGCATGCACAAGACTGCCTAGGTTATGGCCCAGATGTGGAATGGCTGAATCACAATGCACATCTTCAGCCTTACTAGATGTTGCCCTTTTGCTCTTCAAAGTGGTAGTTCCAGCATTATTTTCTATCACATTGTAAGAGTTGTCTTTCCTCCACATTCTCCTCAACATTGGGTTTTAGCTGACCTTTTTTGTTAATCTGACCAGTATGTTTTAATTTATATTTCCATAATTGTTAATGTTGTACATTTACAGGCCATTCACATTTCTTCTGTGAGTGGCCAGTTTAATATTCTTTGCCAAATTTTTCTGATATTTTTTTCCTTATTGGTTTTTAGGAGTTATTTCGTTATTCTGGATATTCATCTTCTGTTAACAGAAGCAACATTGCTTCAGTATGAATCCCAGATCTGCCAATGACTATGTGATTTTGAATAAACGACTAACATCTCCTCACCTCAGTTTACCCATCTGTAAAATAAAATAATAATACACAGCTCATAGAGTTGTTAAATAAGCCTAGGTATACATATATGTAAGTGTATATATGTATACTTATGTATATATCAAATAAATATATGTAATATTTTAGTTAAATAAGTATAAATCTTATGTGTACATGATATATACATACTTATACATAAAACATATAAATATTTAACATATATGTATATAAATAAGTACTTATATTTATGCCAGACTCATAATAAACATTGTAAACATTGTATTTGATATTAGTACCATTACTATTATTATTATAGCTCATGAATTACAAAGATCTAGTATATGGCATTTTTTCTTTTATAATATGTATTTTCGAATTTTAATGTGGTCCATAAAACATTGTTTTATGTAGTTAATGTCTGTTTAGATTTAACCACCTATTCAGTTTCTTTGCGTATCATTTCCCCTTCTATTGTTCTCCACACCTACCTCTGGGATCAGTTTTCTCCCTCCTAGATTATATCTATTAGAAGCGCTTTTAATGAGGGTTTGTCAGTAGTAAATTCTTTTTTCATTTGTCTAAAGATGATTTAACCTTTATTCACGAAAGATTCATTAAACATGCATTACTGTGTTAATGGCTACCTTTAGGACTGTCAATATATTTACCCCACTATCTTTGGGTTTCATTGTTGATATGAAGTTAGCTGTCAGTGTAATTGGCATTCCTCAGCAGATAACCTCTTTTTCTCTGGCTACTTTTAAGATATTTTTTTTTCTCATAAAACTGCAGAACATCAAAGACAATGTGTATATTGTACATTTTTTATTTTACTTAAGATTCATTATGGTTCTTGAATTTGTATCTTTCAATTCTAGAAAATTCTTCAGTCATTTTTCTCTTTGAATATTGCTCTTCCCTGTTTCCTCTAATCTCTCCTGTTAAATACATGTTGGACCATCTCATTCGACCATTCCATCTCTCCATATGCCTGATTTGTTGTTCAACCAACCCAATGAGTTGTTTTTGTTTTTTTTTTTTAAGTTCAATGGTTGTATTTTTTATTTCTAGAAATTCTACCGGTTCCTTTTCAAGTCCAAGGTTCTTTCTTCATACTGTTCTTTCATATGGTTTTATTTCTTTAATAATTTTCAGCATATTGTTTGACAACTCTTTTAGATTGTTCGACTCTTCAGTTCCTGAAGTAGTAATTCTTGGTATGTTCATCTACTGACTCTTGTAGTGCTTTTTCTTATGTATTTGCAACTTTGTATTTTTCTTTTATTTATATAATTATGTATCCTGAATACTGCAAGTGCCCTACCAGAATAATTTCATGTTGTTCTCAACCAAGGTCCTATAGGTTTCCCACACCAATTTTTATGTTAATTTCTTGGAGTAGGGTTCTTTTTCTACTTGTGTAAATTTGGACCCCCTCACCTATAGTGGCACAGGTCGAGGCTTATGAGCAGCGTTTTTCTATCCTCTTTTCATAGACATAGCAATCCTTTTAAATGCTAGGCTTTATGAAATGAGATCAGTTTGGGCTCCTCACCTTGAATAGGCCTAAGGTGTGTCTGTTGAACTCATGGGCATTAAAATCCATTTACAGGGTTCATCACTCTCATGAGTCCCTAATCCTGCTTACTACTTTTAGCTTTCCATTTCTTCCCTATTTCTTAACTGATGAGTTCTCTTCGTTTCAATCTTGGACATTTATGTTTTAAGATTTTTATAGATATATGTTGTTCAAAATTTTTAAAAGTTTATAGTAGTAAATGGCCTCTTCCATTTCAGCACAGCCTGTACAAGCATGCCCCTTGGTTCTCTGTACCCCATCCAATGTGCAAAACTTTTAAGTGCATTGTTCTCTGTAGATTATCTGCATCGATGTTTATTATTTTCTTAATTCAACACTTTTTTATTGAGTGCCTATTTAAACTGGAGGCTGATCTTCGGCTCCATATAGCACTTGCTTATTCTTTATAAACGTAAGAAGCAGATATGATTCTGAATACTTATTTTATGAAGCATTAAAATGTGTACCATGTCAAGAAAATATTTTCAGGATTTTCATGACAATTACACGATTTGATGTTTTCGTGCCATCTAGCTATTACAATTCTGAACACATGGGTATACATACAATAGGAACATTTTGTCACCACTGGGTTAAGTCGCCAGGTTTTTCAGCAGCCTGACTCGACTTTTTCTATGTGTACACAAACATAAACTACAATAGGAAAAATACGGAATTATTTTGGTAGGGTTTCTCAAGGTGCACAATCCTGTACTGTGTTACCATGTGTATATAGACCACCTCTCCTCACTGGCAGCCTTACGCCCCTGATTTGCCTGGCGTGTAAACACTGGTCGTACTCTGACTTTTCGTTCTCTTCAACTCATATCGGCAAGCTTCATATTTATGTTGCTTCTCAGATTTGACCCTTCCTACTCCATTCCTAGTTTCTTCTTTGGTTTATATGCTCAATCCTTCATAGCTAACCAGTCTCCTTGACTGCAGACTTACTCTTCCCCCATTTATACTAAGGTCCCAACAGATAATCTATAAAATTCTGTTCTTATCATGTGCCTGGCTATCTATCAAGTTGTTTAAGATATATCTGGTGCTTTTCTGACCACTTTCCAAGCCCAAAGCCTAGCATGTTTCCCACTCTTATTTTGCACATTCCCCAATACCAGCTTCCAAAAGGTCTCCCGAACACACTCCGCTCAGTCCCAGCCCCGCTCAGCATAGTGCCCGTAAAAGTGTACCCGTTGCTTCTTGTCAATGACCCAACTCCTTCCTCAGCTATTGCAATCCAGCTCAGGTTCCCTACCCTCCAAAACCTCCCTAGACCAAAATTTTCTCTCTCCAGCCTAACCTTGCCCTGAATTATCACCGCCCACCCCCATACCAAAAAAAAAAAAAAAAAAACTAGCTGGAAGCCAAAGCTCACTCTTTTTCACACCCATTCGCCTGTCTTCTTTTCTCAGGCGGCATTTAGTATTTCCAGTCTTGTGTGTGGTTCAGTGTGTACGTATCAACAGCTTGAGAACAGAGGCATTTCCTGTCTCCCCACCTAGCACCTAGCACAGTTCTGGGTCAGTGAATTCAGATAAATTCCTACCTGACTTGTTGACTTGACTGGACAGGTGAAACAC